CAGCAAAGATCTACCCTTCTTCATATATATAATTAGTGAAAATAAAAAGATAAAACTAATTTTAATTAATTTTCAATTTTCTATCATTGAGTTAATTTTAAGAGGGCATCCTTGTTTTATAATTAAATTTAGGAATATTAATCATTGTATATCGTTGATTAATTTCCAAGAACTTATCTGGAAGTTCATACTTCAAACCCTAAACGAATCAAGATATTCGAAAATGCTTTTGTGAAGTTGCATGTTCGCAAATTCTTTGCTGCAAACTAAATTCTGCGGAATCCTGTAATCCTGCTATAATCTTGAAAAGTTATTCGCGTAGACAAACAGCGGTGGCGGGTTCCATAACTTAGGAAGAACATAACAATATAAGTAACAGTTTATTGAGTTTACAACACCGCTATTTTTGATGCACGATGCTTTAAAAGATTACCTACTATAATAGTTTCAGCTTTCAAGGATTTATCAAGAAATTACACAAAAATTGAGCAAAAACAAAACTATCGCTCTTTTGCATTTGTATTTATTTATAAATAACAATTATACAAACTTGTATAAATTTAAAGTCATATAATGTAGAACTCATGACAATGCCGGTTATGGTAAAACATATATTTGAATGCATGCTTATCACTTTCATTTTGATTAAAAATTTAATGGTAATTTTAAAAAATCGACTTCAAAATTGTGCAGATGCCTTTATACATTGATTTTGTTGATTTTCTCATAGATCCCACCACCAGATCTAAACCAAATTTATATGAGACCCCCTTTCCAACAAAAAATCATAGAAATCGGACAATGTGGTAAAGAATTATCGCTGAACATACATAAAAACTGATGAGTTTCTCATAGACCCAATTATTAGATCTTGACTAAAATATGGAACCACTCTAGAAATACCCCCTTTCTAACAAAAAAATAATCATAGAAATCCAATACGGTAAAGATTTATCGCTGAACATACATCTGACGAATTAAGACCCTCCTCCTTTTATTGAATTCGCTTAAAAATATGTGTAAAGGCAATTAATTTTTTAGAATTCAAATAATCAAATTTACTTAACCAGAAATGAGTAAAAATCCGGACCTGCTTTTCCGCCATATTGCACAGTACAAAAGACACGTCTACCATCCCAATTTTGAATATCAAAAATAGTTACGACATCCTCCGGTTGCCATATCAATGATTGTATCCAACAAATTACTATATATTAATACATTAGCGATGTCGCATATAATGGAGTGTGAATTAAATTGCTAGATCAGAAAATTAAATCTAACATTGGACATGTTCCAATTTTGACAGTTCTAATATTTTCATAAATATTACTGACACTATTATTATTTATTTAAAAGTACATCTATCATGCGTGAAGTAAAGGTAAAAAAGGGCAAGTGTATTATTTGGGGTGAAAGGCCGTTCGCCCTTGGACAAAACTGATTTTTCTTCTTCAATTTTAAAGTGAAACAGAAAATAAATCACAGCAGTGTGTGATATATCAAAGTGCCACACAAGAAATAAATTGAAAGTGAAATTTATTTGGAAGAGCATCCCCGGAGTGATTCCTCGACTTCTGACACAACCAAAAAAAGATAAATGATCGGTTGGAAAGTTGACAATGACTCCATCATATTTATAATGCATCAAGTATAATCTTGTTTGGGGTTGGAAAGTTTGCTGCCCAAAGACGGACAAATAGAAATACCTAATAATATAAATAACATATTGTCTCATAAAAAGTTAGGTCGTTCTTTCGAACTACTCTCGAACTCGAGTAGCGGCTATCTTCCTCATTCTTCATTTGTCCTAACTCACTTTGACATTGACTTACAAATTTCACTCGATTTCATAATACCCGTATATCATCAAATTAACTTTTAGACGCCAACAAAAAGTTTTTTCTCATCTTCCATCATTCCGGATGTTACGAGTATATTTCTTATTGTATATTGTACCGGATGGTTTAATAAGAATGGTGTTCGGACCTATCTCAAGAACATTTTCGGGTAAAAATTTCAATGACTAATTACCACGAGAAATACATAAAAATTATTTTGAGAATCGTAGAGAACCGCTAGATGTGGTTTAAAATACAAAAAGTAATTTGCGTAAATGACCAATGATTTTTAGATGGGAGTTTTATTATGCAAATGCCATGATAAAAGGTAACAAACAAGAATATCTATACTATGTAGACTTGTTTAAAGAAAATAACAGAATATTGAGTGGTTAGAGTCAGAACTCTCGAATCCAGTGGTTTTGGGTTCAAATTCTGCCAGCTTTAATGCATAAGTAGAAATCCTTACTCGATCATTCACTGTTGGGTTCTAATTAACAGTGGAGCGGTTCCTAAAATGGTGCTGGAAACAGTGTAAGTTGAACACGAGGCTAATAAACTAATAACATTGGTTGTTGATACCGATAAAACCGAATTAAAAAAAGAATATATGAAGTGATATATAAAAAATGTTTCTAAAGTAGTTTACAATTATTCTTCTTTCTAAGTTTTAGTTTAAATTTAATTATGTCTTTGACAATCTTTACTTTAAACATGTATTAGACTATACCTGTTGCGGTGTTAGCTAAAGGAGTAATTCTATTTCGGAGGGAAACGGATACAATATACAAATTAGTGTACATAGAAAAATACTGTAAATAATCAGTTAAACATAAGAGATGAAAAAAAATTAAATAATATACATATAATACTTATACACTTTAATATTTTTCAATCTAAGAGACATTTGTTTGAACATGTTTTTTGTACATTCGTTGTAGGTACCTATGCTAGTGCGCAAAATCTTATTTCAATACTACTCAAAACAAAAAATGAGTCTTCTGTCTTTTGTAAAATCTTATTTATATTTAAATAAACAATGGAAAAATAATTACTTCAATAAATTGTTATGTATTATTAAGATTGTAGGAGCAGCTGTTTACATTAATACTATTTAAATTTTTTATTATTATTGGTATTATTATTACATGGAAACGTTCAGAACATGACTGAGTGTCATTTTGTAAATGTTTGTTTACTGTTTATTCACTTATTATTCTCCCCTTCTCTTTTCAAAACGAGTTATGAAATATTAAGAACACTTGTGAAGCCTCGGCGTTCCTACCTCTAAGGACTATCAGAGTCTTTAATCAGTTGCCAAAACCCCTCGATTATGCCTATTAAGGGATTAGTTTGTGTTTTTTATTTTTATTATTTTCCTTGCCATTGGTGAATGTATGTTCCTTCAGGACTCCAGGATTCTTTGGTTGGTGACAGTGGTGCCTTCATGTTTTAATATGATAACAGCGGTTAAAGACCTATCAATTGAACTGTGACACTGGTGACAAACTAAGGTCTTTTAGCCAACTAGTTGTTACATCTTTCCAAAATGAGATGGATACCTTGTCCTTAATAGTATGAGAGCCAGGCGCGGATATAAGGGGGGTAATAGGGTAATTACCCCCACCCCCGAGCTGCTCGAACAAATCTAGGAATTTACTAAATTGTAATCTAAAAACAACGAGATTTTACGAGAAAGCAAAAAAAGACAAGATAACTGTGACGAATGAAGAATAGAGAAGCACAGGCTGGCGTACAATATTTTTTGTTATTTTTTAAATAAACGAATGATTTTTTGATAAAATTATCAACTCCCCCGAAAAATCTTCCCAGATCCGCGCCTGATGAGAGCCCACTGCAAATTTCGACCGTCATCTGATAACGACATGAAATATGCTCCAAAGACATGTAACAACATTGTACTTTACCAAATTGCACCTGTGCCAATCCCTATCCTGAGCAAAGTGGTTAAAAAAAAATATTTTATATTCACAAAATCACATAAGACATGACAGCAACAATTTGAACCTAACTTTTAAACCAGAATTATTAATATTTTTACCTACCTTTTAAACCATGTTTATGTGTGTAAGGAAGAAGGATGACGTTGTATAAACCATTTGCAGAGATAGTCAAGAATAATTTATAAACTCTTGTCAGACAATTATTTTAAACCATAATCATAGTAGTTTTTTTGTCGTTTCTATGGCAACCTGTAAAAATGAATCACAACAATAGGCATACAAATAAATTTTTAAATCAGCAAAATTTGATTCATATTTTTAATGATTTTTACCTATTAATCGTGGATAGATGTTTTTGTGCGATGTTAAGAGGAAGAAAATGTTTTACTTTTACGATATATATCAAGATATATTTGAATGTTATTTTCTGGAAAACTTTAAGGGCAAACAAAATTAGCGCTGTAATGCCTTATGTGATTTTTTTAATATAAGCTGCTTTGCTCAGGATTGGGATTGGCTCAGGTGCCATTTGGTAAAGTACAATGTTTTTCCATGCTTTTGGAGTATATTTCATTTCGTTATCAGATGAAGGTAAAAATTTGCAGTGGGCTCTTGGGCTATAATAGGATGACCCCTTTTTTGTTGCTTTATTCTATAACTATTGTTTGATAATTATTATTACAATTCTCATTCTTATTTAACAAATTTTTTTATTGTACTGACCATTATTTTAGAAATTATATTGTGATATGCCTGTTGTAGTAGTGGGAGCAAGGGCGTATCCATCTCAAAACAAAAGAGGGGGACGCTTTCTGAATTCAATATTTTAAGGGAAGGATAGTGCTAAAATAATATATAATACCAAAATGAATTCACCATTTATTGAAAAAAAAAAAACTTAATTTTTTAACAATAGTTTACGTGGATTGCTTTCAAATCTTCTAATTACATCTAACAATTGCTCTTCGTTTGCAAAAACCCACTGACGATGAATACTAAGCATAGCTAATCCATTCAATCTATTTTTACTAATAGTGCTCCTTAGCCATGCTTTCATTCTACGACGAGAGGAGCTAAACGAACGCTCGATAGTGCAAGTGATACAAGGTTGGGAAATCAATATCAGAAGAGCCTTTCTAATTGTCTGAAAAAACATTTGGCTCTTTTTCAAAATGTTGGTGATATCTGGTGTTTCTTACAACTTATTCCACATTTTGAACCATAATTCACCTTCTCCTTTAATGCTTTTCAAATTGTAGAAACTTTCACAAGATGACGTGCTTTTTTTCCATTCTTCCAATAAAACATGTTTCATGTTACCCGGATGAAAATGGGTTATTGAAAATGCAAGTGATTTGTCTATGGAAAATCTTACTTGTAGAGATTCAATGATTGAATCTAAGTAAGGAATTATGAAGAATATTTTCCAAAAGTCGCATGGGTTTTCGGCTGGAGGGTTGTTTCTATGCTTTTGTCGGCCAGCAATACGAGCGACAGTTATATCAACATTCAAAGGCTTTGCTATATCGCCTGTTTCTTTTAAAATTTCAGCCGTTATGTTCTCAGCATTCTTCCGATGATCTCTTGGCATTTCAACAATAGTTTGAATATGCTCGTTGGTTTTAACTATATCAAGTGTCTTCATTTGAAGTATATTTGCTACGAGTTACATATTGGCTGCGTGCCTTGATATGCACTTTTTCTTGTCGCTCCTCAGCTAATGTCTCTAGTGCATCAACTAAATCGACAAAGTGTTTCTTAAAAACACGAATGCTTTTATATTTCTCTGATCACCTAGTTTAAAACAAATTTAGGAATGTTTGCAATAAGTTTGCGTCGTAAAACAGACTCGCGGAAAAATTTAATTATTCCTTGAAAGTTCCAACGCTGTTTCGTATTTCCGGGATATCATTCAAGTCGTTCACGATAAGGTTAAGCTTGTGCGAAGAGCAGTGGAAGTAGAAAGCTTTTTTATACTTTTGCCTCAAGATCGCTTGCATGCCCGCCTCTTTTCCAGACATGGTGGAACATCCATCACAACATAACCCCACACACTTATTAGGATCTAGGTCTAAGTTTGTCACAAAATCATCAAGGGCATTGGCAATACTTACTACATTAAGTCCTTCAAGCTCTACAAAGCCTAAGAACTCTTCTTTGATTTCGTTGGTATTTTTATCAAAGAAACGTAATCCAACAGAAAGCTGGTCCTTGCCAGTTATATCTACAGTTTCGTCAGCCAGAATGCTATAAGCACAAGCTTCTTTAACATTTGAGATGATTTGTTACTTTATTGAAGCGCCACAGAGATCAATTATTTCATTTTGAATCGGTATGAAGCGTTTTTTGGTCCGTGCTGAGAATGGTGTCCTAATTGTGAATCACCTGCTTTAATGCATAAATGACACAAGACTATAAGCATGCCTTCAATCCAAAATTTTGCCTCTTAGAGCTAAATCATGTGTTCCGCAAAAAATGATACATGAAATAATTGAGGACAGAATTTTTTTTTAAATTGAATAATATATTTTATTTCATAGCTACTTTTCGTACTGGTAAACTTTAAAAAAAAATTTATAAAAAAGTAAAAATTTTATATTAAGTTTTATCTTAATTTAGTTTTTTCGGGTTCGGAAAGGGGGGCAGCTGCCCTCCCACGCCACTTCCTGGATACGCCCTTGAGTGGGAGTAACTTCAGCTAGACTTCGCCACAGTTGTCATGTGTAATTTATAATTGTTTTTTATTTATATTGTATTTTTTTAATCTTTTGAAATAAATTCGTTTATTATTAGTATTATTATTGTTATTAATTAAAACTATACATTTTTAAATTAACTAATTGGTAAGTTATACTAAAATTGAGAAATCACTTCAGATCTCTTAATATAAAAAAATGTATTTGCACAAGCTAGGCATACTTGGTATAAAACTGTAAATTGGAAGTTTTGCGATTAAATAAAACAGCAAAAGATAGTCATTGAAAACTGAGACAAACGTAAACATGCAGTAATTACAAAACGAAGTGTTTACCCTTGTGAAACCATCGAGCAAAGTGTAATTATGAGTAAAAGAGCATTTCGAATAATTTCGCTAATTTCCGAGGGGTTAATTCAAAACCTATGACAGAAAAGCGTGAACCTCGTTGGCGAACTCCCCCAGGACAGTTAGAAAACGTGACAGTGGTCATATATGGATAATATATAAAGTATTTATAGGCGCATCACGTATATAGTAACCGATGTTTCGCAGCCGGTACACTAGATCACATTACAGTTTGTAATTTAGTCCCCCTAGTCCCTCGCTGCGTATGCCGTACATGGTAGTTGATGTGGAAAAATTGACGGGAACAAATGAGGTGTTTCGCACGAAAAGTCACAACTCAGATACCGACGCATCCACCTAAATTTTAAAAACCATTCGTACCAACCTACCGAGTTTTAACAGTTTTAAATCAAACAATTGGTATTAGAAACGTAATTCTTATTTAAATGTATTGCTCCATTTTTTTCATTTATGTCTTCATTAAGTTTAATTAATTTTTTCTGATAAACTTATCATTTCATTGAGAGAAATGTTTATTTAATATTAATAAAATTTATTATTATTAACCGTAACGTATGTAACAGAAGTTTTTGCAAAAAATTCCATCTTTATTGAAATTTTTTTTTAAATCTATTATGTGAAAATCGTCTTAGGTATTCTGTGGAAATTGTCATGGAACAACATATAGATAGTTTTTGTTCTATGCCGTATGTTGTTAATAGTTAATAGTTGTTAATTTGTTAATAGTTAACTTACTTTAGCTGCATATTTGTTTTATAGATTGCGAAAAGGCTGAATTTTTATATTTTATATTTAATATTAAAAATATACATTTTGTTGACTAAACTCTTTGTTAATATTGTGGCTTAAAAATGATTTGTTTAAGAACAACTCAAATTTATGCGACATTTATTAATAATTATAATATTATGGTATTATTAAATTTCGTCGGTTAATATTTAACGAATGTGTTACTAACTTACGATATTTTAAGTATAAACTACTTCTCTCAGTGTTTGAAAAAGGTGTTTCTCCAAATAGTCTTAAAACTGAATTCATCAAGCCCTTTCACAAAAAAAGTAATAAGTTGAATGTGGCTAATTTTCGTCTAATATCTCTGATTTTAAATGGAATCAAAATTTTTAATTTTTTTTGAAATAAAATGCTTTATAATAACAGTATTTAAACATAATATCATTTAACGATGATAATAGTCCTTAAGAATAATAGTTCTTAATAATGATCCTTAAAAATTTCTTAAAAACACTTCAAGGATAATAGAATAATAGTCCTTGAGGATAATAATTGTTAACAATAACAGTTCTTAAAGACAGTAATCCTTAAACATATAATTTATCAAGGATAATAGTCCGTAAGCATAATTATACTTAAGAATAATATTTCTTAATGATCATTAAACGTAATTTTTTAAGGATAATAGTCCAGAGGGATATCTACAAAATATGTTCTCAAATCTTCTGTCAGTCATATTATTAAAAAAATTAAATAAATCCCTTTATGTATGAAAGTTTACATTTATTATAGTCGAAATATTAAAAAAAAATGTTCATTTTGATGAAGACCGACAAATCCTTATTACTCACGCTGTTTATTTCTGGAGAAAAATTCCCCAAGCAGCTTAAATTCCCCCGGATTCCATTCAAAATACAAGTTGTTGAACATTATTATTTATACCTCTGCTGTGTTTACGGTAATAATTCAGAATATATTCCTCACCGTGCGTCTTCCTGTCTTCGTTTTATTTTCTGTTCAACTAAATATTCGTACACCGAGAAAAGTTATTTATTGCTCTGTGTCAACAACATATTACTAATAGAGTTGGAATAAAATCATCTATGAGAATAAAATAGTTCATACATATTTATCGTGAAACCGTTGAGACATAATTAACATTTTAGCGTATAAAATTTCACAAAATCACTTCAAAATAACAAAAATCACACATTTACTACATTATTCCTATTAAATTTATTTTCTCATAAAAAAGATAAAAGTATTAAATTTTTCTCGGTGTATATTTCATTTTATATTCGGAACATTTCAGTGAATCTCGGCATAAAGTTGTAGTAAGATATATAAGGGCACCAGCCCAACTCAAAATGACCGGTGATTTAACCGTTATGGACTTTCGACTTTGGCAAATGTACTACTAAGAGACGCACTGGGTTAGACAAATTTAAGATAACGACGTATACATTTCTCTATTCCAGAGGAATAGCTATTTATGTAGCCATTTACGAAATGCCTTATTTTATATAACGAGTGAATATTTGCGGGACGAGCAGAACGAGATCTCACAAAATGAACGAGTTACACAACACAAATTTTCGGACAATGTTTTTATCGAAATTATCTATTTGGTCCTTATATTATTAAGTGGTGGTATAACTTTTGTAAGGGAAGCATCGAATGTCTTTTATTTTAAACCGTCATTAAAACATTACAGAATATTTATGATGTACATTTTTGGTACTTAGACTATGTTTCTTCTAATAAATATTACAATATTTTATGTAATTAAAAAGAAGTAAATTGGCCTAATTATATTTTAATTTCTTAAATGGACCTAAATTGTATTTTAGTTTCTTCTTAGCATATTTCTTGGTAAATACCAACAGATATAATAATTTTAATGTTTATGGATTTTATTTATTACAAAAATATAATATCACAAAATAAAACTGAAAATCCATATTTCTCACTCAAATAATGCCTAATAACAAATTTAAGGCGGTTTATCATACTTGTAGGTAAATCATGAAGTTTTATGATTGCAATAATATCTATATATCTTTATCATACAATACTAGTTTGTGCCAAAGATATCGGATAATAGATACGCCTTGTATACATTACACTTGTCCGCAACTTTTTTTTGACGGTACGCTCTTCCTATGTTGTCAGATCTCTTTCATCAAATATCAAACATTAAATTTTTATTAAAAAAGTTACTATTACCTTTAATACAATCTAATAAAAAAAGGAAATAAAGAATTGAAAGCATTAATATGAGTTTTTTATTAATTGCAATCACTTAAGACTTTTATTTAGCTATTTTTACATGTGTATCATAGGGGAATATTAAACATTCTGGTATATATCCTTTAAGTTTGACAACCTAAGACATTTTGCTAATATTGTCAAAGTGACAGATCAAGTTTTATTGTGATTTTTGTGGTTTTTTTGTAGTTTTCAAGAATAATTTGAACCCTGAACTTTTTAATAAGGCCTTTTACGACGGGGAGCAAATGTATAGTGTGCCGAAATACGCAGAATAAGAATGTTATTCGGTCATTTTATTAGGAAGATTATGTTAGCATAGACGTAGGCATATGCAGGAAATAAGGCTTAATTTATTTAACAGTATAAAGGCATTTAGCACCAGCATTGTTTATTTAAATAATAATGTTCTATATTTTCTGATCAGGTTTCCTAGAGAAATTATTCAACGTAAAATTTGGCTGCAAAATCTATGCTTGATGTAGGAAGACATTATGAAAATGAAAGAAGCCTTAGTATGTTCTGACCATTTTTGTATGGCAGATATTTATGAAAGTTTAAGTGGTACACATCTTAAAATA